ATGTCCATACAATCAGCCTCGGCTAGCTCCAAAGAAACTGATGGGCCTGACCCAACCCAGGTCATTGTTCTGCCCTCTTGTCTAGCAAACTTTGCTAAGCTATCGCTAAACTTATTTTGCGTACGATTTATATGAGTAATACAAGAATCACGAAGAGACATCAGGTGTCTAATTTCTTTAACTAAAGAAGAGTAGATCGATCTATCAATATCCATCGCTTGAATCAGCTTGACTGCAATAATGGAGTCCATCTCAATAATGATCGGCAAGTCGCTTCTCTGAATTGCAAAAGACAGGCCTTCCATGCAAGCACACAACTCAGCTTCAAGAATTTCTCGGCATGAAAAAAGCTCCCTGCAAGCTGAGTAGATGACATTACCTTTGTCATCTCGCAGCACCATCCCCGCACCAGCCGTACCATTTACTGCAAAGGACCCATCAGTATTCAGTTTCACCCAACCCGCCATAGGGGGACACCATTTGACAGGAGTGCTCTCAACTATTCGAACATGTGGATTTTTAAGTGGCCTGTCGTATGTAACTAAGGACTTCCCTTTGCTCGGATCAGAAGATAGATCAATTTTAAGACCAACCAAGGAATCAAGGTAACTCACCAAATACCTCCTGGACGCTTCCATTGGGGGCGCAGGTTTATGGTGTAACACTTCGTTACGGATGTGCCAAATCCTCCACAAAGTCATAAGAAGCATGCACCTCTCGATTTCTGGCAATGGGTCAAGGACATGAAGCAACCATTCCTTACCTGTATTTCTAATAGCAGCCAAGTCAGGTAAGGACCAAACCTCCGACATTGTTGACCATAATTCTCTAGCAAAAGTGCAGCGACAGAGGGGATGGAAGTTATCTTCCGGCTCAACAGCACAAATTGGACAAAGGTCATTAACCTCCAGACTCCTACTGTGCTTCTTCTGCCATGTCGGCAAAGCATTAGTAGCGACTTTCCAAGCAAAGTTTCGAACTGTAGGAGGAACATCGCAAGACCAAATAAGGTTCCAACAAGAACGGCGACCATCCGGACTGGAACTAGATCCCGCTGCATTCATTCTGTGAGCTTCATCGAAGGCAAATTGATATGCACTCTTCACAGTAAAAATACCATATTTGCCTGGACCCCAAGCAAGTGTATCATCTTCCAACCGGGGCGAAGCTCGAATTTTAATAATTTCCAACACATCAGGCGGCAAAAAATACTCCTGTAGCAATCCTATATTCCAAGAACCATTAGCATTCAACAATTCAGACACAAAACGTATACGGCATCTGCCCTGAAGCGTAATAGGTTTGAATGAGAAAGGACGGGGTATCCAATTATCACGCCAGACTCGGATGCTCCTGCCATTCCCAACTCTCCAAACCAAACCTTTTTTCAAAAGCTCCAGCCCATAAGAAATAGCCTGCCAAGATGATGAGGCATTCCCAGAAAAAACAGTGTCCTCTAGTTTCCCTTCTGGATAGTACCTGGCCTTCAGAACTTGTGCACATAAGCTCTCTGGTCTAGTAATTAAACGCCAAGCCTGACGAGCTAATAACGCTTGATTAAACAGACGAAAATCCCGGAATCCAGCACCGCCTTTATTCTTTGGTTGTAACAAATCATCCCAAGCACGCCAATGAACCTTCCGTTTACCATTTGAGGAACCCCAATAGAAGCCCCTCACCATCCTAGTGAGCTCATCACATACAGAAAAGGGTAGTTTAAACACGCCCATAATGTAAGTGGGTAATGCTTGCGCTACAGATTTGATGAGTGTCTCTCGACCAGGCTGAGCGAGGAACCCGTCTCCCCACTGAATAAGACGTTTTGTGAGGCTCATTTGCAAATTTTGGAAACGTCCTTTAGACATACGACCATCAGGAGTTGGAAGACCCAAATACTTTTCTTCAAAAATAGAACTAGAGACATTGAGAACCTCTCTAACTTCCTCTTGAACAGGAGCAGGACAAGAACTTCCAAAGAGAATGGAGCATTTATTAAAGTTCAGACTCTGTCCTGTAGCATTACTATACAAATCCAGAGCATGCTTAACCTTTTCAGCTTGAAGACGTGATGCTTCAAAAAATAACATAGTATCATCTGCAAACAAAAGGTGTGAAATACCCGGAGCTCTTCTACATATTTTGATAGGAGTAATATCACCGGCAGCCACATTTTGTTTAAGAATAGCAGAAAGACCATCCGCCACCAAGAGGAACAAAAAGGGAGAAAGAGGGTCCCCTTGCCGAAGACCACGCGATGGTGCAAATGAATCCAAGAGGGTTCCATTTAATTTAACAGAATACCTCACCGATGTGACACAAGACATAATCCAGTCCATCCACCGACGAGAGAAACCCAGCTTTTGCATCACCTGCTTCAAGAACACCCAATCCACCCTGTCATATGCTTTGGACAAATCAAGCTTATACGCACAAAAACTCCTTGTTGGCTCCTTTTCCTGTTTAATATGATGGATGCATTCAAAGGCCACAAGAGCATTGTCTGTGATCATCCTCCCAGGAATAAATGCACTCTGCTCTAGAGAAATAATGTCATCCAATAGTGGCCTCAAACGATTAACAAGGCATTTGGAAATAACCTTGTAAATGACATTGCATAGACTAATGGGCCTGTAATCAGTCAGACTAGTAGGATTAGAATTTTTAGGAATCAGAACAATGGAAGTAGAATTTACCCCGTCTGGCATAATTCCAGTCCTGAAAAATTCCTTGACAGAACAAATCACGCTGTCCTTTAGAGTGCCCTAGTTCCGCTGAAAAAATCTAGCCGGAAAACCATCCGGACCTGGAGCCTTCAAAGGACCAATCTGAAATAATGCATCTGCAATTTCCTTGTCGCTGAAGGCTGCACACAGCTTCTCATTATCCTCCTCAGACACCCTAGCTTCCAAAAGATCGAGGACGGGGGTAGCATCAAGTGACGGGTCTGCCGAAAAAATTCCTTGAAAATACTCATTTGCCATGGTAGCCATCTCACCGAAATCGGAATGGACAATACCGATGCTGTCGGTCAGTGCACGGATTTTATTCTTTCGAGCTCTCCAAACAGCCTTACTCTGGAAATATTTCGTATTCCTATCACCCTCTTTCAACCATGTTATTCTTGATCTTTGCATCCACATCATTTCCTCCTGATATAATAGTTCATTCATTTTGTCTGGATTTTCAGTTGCTATTTATGTAGATTAGTTGTTTTAAAGAAAGATAACTTGGCCAAGCGTAGATTGGATGGTAGTAAGAATTGATGTTATCGTGATGGGTGGCACAATGTGGCACATCTTTGTCTCATGTCCACCCTCTCACTTTTTGCGGCGGACTTTTCTTGTTGGTTTCAATATACCTTTAAAAACGGGTGCCTCAATATGTTTGGAAACTACTCCCTCCGTCCCATAATATAAGACGGGGTTAGTGCTAGGAGGCTCAAATCCGAGTGAGAGTGTGCCATTATATTAGGTTATATGGAATTATCAAAATGATGTTGTTTCTAACCATATTAGGCCTTGTGCAATGCAAGACGCTTAGGAGAGGTGCTTAGAGAAATAAACCAGTAGTTCTTTAAGCACTGGTGGTTATTTGTAGAAGGTAGACGCTCAATTAGGCGCCTCTCCAGTAGAAATAGGCACTTATGCTTTAAAAAAAATCTGGTTTATTTTTCTAAGCACCTAACATTGTACGAGGCCTTAGAGTTTTCAACTTCTTGTAGGCCACATATCGAGTCCATATGTGGTGCTCGCTTCAACATCAACATGTGAAGGCGCGGAAGACTTTGTCTTATGAGTGCAACAGTGGTGCAGCCAGCGCCCAGAGTTCGAATTCCGTCGGGAGCGAATTTCTGATTCCTCACCCCTAGTGGGCTTCTTCTATAAAAATATGCCCTAGGTGCTAGTGTCCATGGATATATTCATTCTTTTTTCTTATTTGTGCAATCACTAAGAGACAGGTAGCACATGATATATTCATTCAAACAATATAAAAGATGGTCTAGCAATATTTTTTTTTGCGGGGTGGTCTAGCAATATGATTAGTAGAGCATAAGTATGAAATCTAAATCTTTTATTTTATTTTATTTTTTGCGAGAAAATTTTCGATCTATTCATCTTCAGTCATGACAGTAGAACGAATACCAAAAATAATAGAAATTACATTAGTATGAAATCTTTTGTTGTTGGTCCATGATTTCCTTTCAATGTATTAGTTCAATTTAATCTCCATAACAAATATGTTTGCGCGCGCACCCAAAGTACCAAAGTATAGATAGAACGTAACAAAGAAATAAAGCTAGTTTGTTAATGGAGAGAAAAATAATAATTTAATCAATCATTTCGTCCTGCTATATTATCATTGACATGCAAAAAAAATCCCAGAGGACCAGGGTCAAAATAAAGAGGAAAAAAAGAAATGCTGCTGCCCAGGATCGAACTGGAGACCTTCAGTGTGTAAGACTGACGTGATAACCACTACACCACAGCAGCTGTTGTTGTCCATATCTAATTAACACCTTAATTGTACGGTAACCATTATTATTAGGTTCAGCTTACACCGGTTTATCTTCAGCACTGAATCTTCAGGTCACACTTCTCACGGATCTGTCTTGGCGAAGCTCAACCCTTACCTCAGGAGTCCAGGATCCGGGAAGGTAAAGCCGATAGTCGACCCAAAGGGGCCGTCCTCCCCCCTTCTCCCGCCTCCCGGGTTACAGAGGCAATTTCTTACCTTGAGACAGGGAGGGCCTCAAGCAAACTAGTTAGTTATTTTACCTATTCCTTTTGGAGTGAACAACCCAAAGACCCAGAGTAAAAGTTCATTTCAGGTACAGCTCATAGAACTACAAGATATATGTATATATATATATTGTGCCCAACCATTGATTTCAACGAGCATACGGTACAGATAGATTGCTCTCTGTTCATGAGGTTTATGTAAACTACAGAATCGCCGATCCTCCGGCCGGGGTTGGGTTGGGTTGGGAACTACTGGCATGCCTACTGCTTCGGAGCCAATCTGATTGGGCAGATTGCAAATGCCATGAGGCGTGCCGCAAAGGCCAGCGAAAACCGCTCATCCTCGGTCAGTGTCCTCTCTATCACCTTAACAACAGATGGATCCTGCCATGAGGGAGATCACATTTTATTGTTACATAATACAGATGTCTCCACAAAGATGTTGATCAGAAAAGCAGACATGCTTAGCTCGAGAAATGAAACTATAAGATATATCTGTCTAATTAGCATAGAAATAGGCAGGCTGTATACCTTTATCTGCAATTGGCTGGGAGCAGGACGAATCCGGGCGATGTCACCGACTCTGATCACATTGTTGACGTTCCCATGTTCATCTGTCTCTGACGGCAACGAACTCGAGTGCCTCCAGTTACCCCCAACTATGAACTTGTAGTAGTACCTGAACCAGTATGGGTTAGTTACTTGTGGGTAACTCTAAAGGATCACGGGAAAATTGATCATAAGTTGAACCAAGATAGAAAGATGGCATCTCTCTACAATATTCTCATATAATACCAACTCCAGGGCACTGATGAATCTCGTTACTAATTTTTTTTTCAGAATCAAATAAACGACAGCTTACTTCCCATGTCGAAGTCGAACCTCAGCTTCATATCTGGATCCACCCTTGTGGTTGCACTTTAATTTGTCTTTCCAGTTACTTGTAAAATCCCCCACCAATTCCACATCATCACCCTGGATAGCATCAATTCCATCAGGTTAGTTAGTGATTATCAACATGAAGATAGAAATTAACTACGATGGTTTCACACCAAAATACTGCTCAATGGTGCATTCTGGATACATTATGTTACGAACAAACTGACCTCCCGACCATTGTTCCAAACAAAGCACACTGAATGTGTAGGAGTGCCATCATGTCTTCCAGTTTCAACTAATGCAATGAGATCCCAAGTTGCCCAAACAATTGCAGCTCTGTGTATTCAAATGAAACTTTAAGCTCCCAAAACAATACCACAATAACTAAGACAGTGGAAATAAGAACCAGACTGCTCTTATTAGTTGGATTAATTCCCAGAAATTAAGAAAACTATGTCATATAAAACTACCTGTCAGGTCTACATGAATGCAACCCAGTGATGAACTTGTGAGCAATATGAAGAGGTGTATCTTGAACCCAATGTAGATACGCAATCACACATGCTGGTGATCTATCATATCCAGTGGTACAAGTCACATATATACGGTAGTTCTTCCGTATCAGCCGCAAAAGAAGACCAACACAAAAAGGAAGCTTCTTTCTCAAGTCCATGGAATCAACCTCTCTGAAAAAAATATAGAAATAGAGGGCATCTATAGTTCAATCACAAGAAGATTCCATAGGAAGTGCCAACTATATAGCAGCGACGTCATTTCTTAAACAGGAAAGTACAACACCTATCAAACAGAAGGGTATATAGTAAAGATAATGCTGAACATCACATACTATATTAGCCAGTATCTACATAACCCTACTTACTGTAACTACAAAATAAAGGAAGAATAAATATCTCTTTTAGCAGGAAAAAGACTGCTGCAAATCATCATGATGTTATTCTGACGACAAGAATAAATATCTCTTTTACTCAGTGATATTATAATAGATTTAAGCACATCCAGTGTTGCTACTGCAAGGCACTCCAATGAACTAAGTTTTTCATTCTGATCTACGAGTGAGAAGAATAAAATCCTACCGAATAGGGTAGTTAATCATCAAGATGTTGTTCTGACGACAAGAATTGTTGATTGCCTCGGAATTTATTCCCCAATTAATGCGCTCACTTTCACTTTGGAAATTCAGGACAGCAGTAATACCCTGGTGCCTTTTAAAATATCAGAAACTTAACTGAATGGTAAAAGGCCAGGTACAAATTGAACAAATAAGATTTCTGTTCATTGTGCTATGTCAGTGAACCTACCACCGTCTCTGATAACATCTTCACATCCTTCTGTGTTTGTATGCATGATCCAACATATATTTGCTCAGTAATCTGTGACAAAATACATCGAATATTCAAAGATTGCTATGCTGATTGACAGACTAGTCCTAAAGTCTTGAAAGGAAATGCATAGCACCTTCATCACTTCATGTAGTGTACATAGCAAAAGAAGAAGAGGATACAGAATTATTTACCGACCTTGCTGTATTGCATACCAAGTGAATGATTATAGTACAGTTCACCTTTAGCACGGTCTAGGGCTTTAATGTACTCCTCCAAAGGAAAACTACCATGTGCCCATTCAGCATCCATGTCATCCTCATCAGAGTAAAAGCCAACAATCTCACTCATCCAATTTGCAAGGTTCGTACTCCTCCTATTGAGTCCATCTTTCTCACTAGATAAAAGCGCCCATCCTTGGGAACTTAGTAGCCTTGGGGAAAATATAGCAAAACCAGATTTCCCATTTCCTGGAGATGATTTATTCAGCTTTGAGGACAAGATAGCACTATTCCAGGTCGGAAGAGAAACCCTCCCTCTGTTAAATAGGATATGATAATCTTCATTTTTATGCAACTGGTGTATTGGATAAGGCGCAACTGGCCTTTCAAGGACAAGATTGCATGGTCCTGACTCTTGTTTTAGAACCATCCTGCAGATACATTACAGAAAACATATGACCAAACAAATAAGTGCAAGTTCAAACTTCTAAGAGTGACCACTAGTTACATCCTACTTTCAGAGATTCAACATTAGTAAGTTTAATTAAGGATGTTGAAACCACAAATGTTTTGATGGAATGGTACAGTTGGAGCATGTACAATGCAAAGTGCTTATGTGCGACTCAGTTTCGCCACATCATTATTCACCTACAAATCCTATCTCCTACAATGCAAGCATCTCTTTGTAGGTGCTTAGATGATTTATTAAATATCAACTGGTACTAGTTAAATGCATAAGTGCCACCGAAACATGGGTGCCTAATCAACCACTCATCCTTTATAGGCCCTGTTTGGTTCAGCTTTTATCGACGGATTCCGCTGCCGCGCAGCAGAATCTGAACCAAAGGGCAAACCCAGCAGAATCCGATTCCAGAAATCCGCTGCCAAAATCTGAACCAAAAGCGGAAGCAGCCCAGGATGTGCTTTACAAAATCTGATTCCGCTGCGGGCCAAAATCTGAAAAAGCTGTATCAGCTGGTTTGCCAAATGACCTACATCTTTTTCACATCAGATTTTCCACAGCTATTTTTCCACAGCAAATTTTTCACAGCTGCTTTTAGAAATCCACAGTCGAACCAAACAGGGCCATAATAAAAAACTGCTTAAACGCGAATTGTTGCTAAGCGCGCTGCTTTTTAAAACAGAGGGTGTATTATGGTTAAAGTACCATACAGTTATGAGTTGACAACACATATTTGCTCTAGGTTGCAACAGATGTACAGGATAGCATAGCTAATATGAAACAGAAAACCTCCTATCTAGCACAATGATTTTTCTGTGATACTTGAAGAATGCGAAGAAGGTTTCAGCAATAGAAACTTTACTAGTGCCATACTCCGTGTCACCTAGGTCTTTTATGCTGACAAGACCCTCATTGTGGACAGTGCCTGCCTTCTTGAGAGTGTCCCCGACCATTATGATTCGCGACTTCTCCGCATTTCCCTGCAGCAGCAGCAGCAACAGTTACAGTTAGTACATTTGCAAAAAAGCTTCCAAATCAGAAATGCCCAGAGCACACTGATCAGAGAGATAGTTCATTCACAACGATAAATGCAGAGAAACAGCTCTCATGTTTTGGACAAGTTGGCTGCAGTATGTCTGTCAGTATCCCTCTACCGTAGATTAGTGGCAAATTCGAGTGGTAATAAAAGATCAACTGAAGGGAAGCGGGGAACAGAAAGAATAACGTTACAAGGTCGAAGCTTTACCCCTCTCTTGAGAGAATGCACGAAGATGCGGCCGTCGACGGCGAGCGCGAAGCGGAGGCCGAGCGGGCGGTCGACGGCGACCATGTACTCGTTGAGGTTCATCCTCCCCGCCGCCGCTGCGGGACCCTCTTCCTCCTCCTCCTGGCCTCCCTCCGAGGCCGCCACGACGGCCAGCCCCCTCCTCCTCCCACCACTGCGCCTTCTTGAAGAGGACGCGGCGCGGAACCTGGACGCCGGCGGCGGCAGCGCCGCTGACCCGACTCTGACGCGACCCCGTGGAGCGAGGAGGGCAATGCTTGAAGGGGGCATGAGGCTGAGCGCCATGAGTTGGGGATTGGATCGGGCGGCGGTGCTGATCGAGGGCGGAATGCCGGAGCGGCGCGGGATCAGTGGGGCATGGGGATGGGAAGTGTGTGGAAAGAAACTGTAAGCGGAAGGAAGGGAAGAATACCACGTGCACGCATGGGAGACACGCTCCCGTGCTCCCGGGCCATCTCGGCCGTTGGATCTCTCCCATGCTCCCCTGTTAGATCTTACTCCCTCCGTCCGGAAATACTTGTCATCGAAATGAATAAAAGGAGATGTATCTAGACGTATTTTAGTTCTGAATTCATCCCTTTTTATCCCAGTACTAGATTCAATGGCCTTGTAGGGAGATGTTTAGTAAAATAAACCAAGTTTTTTAAGTACCGGTACTTATTTACGATAGAAGCATCTAATAAAACATGTATTCTCTATAAATAAGCATCGATGCTTAAGAAAACACTAGTAGGGTGACTCGCGCATTTGCGCGCCTAGATTAAGTACTGTATTATTTGTCGATTCATATTTAGACATGTTTTTCAGTGCATAGCCTTGCTCTTTACTATTATATTAATATGCACTTTTGTAGATTATAAAATGATATATTATACAAAATAAATTAGAAATTGTCCATTAAAAATAGTTTATACAAATAATTATTATGCACTTTTGGTCATTACTATTGTATTATGCAAATTAGACCCCAAACTCCATTATTTTATGTTTGAATGTTCATATAGAAACAATCTTCTCAATCTACACTTCTATATTCAATATCAATATCTAATAGGGTACTAAAGACCCCGTATTACAACTTCTTGTGTGTCTTTCAGGGAGTTGAGAACAAATAACATAATCTAAACATATGTTTTCTTCCTCGCCAGGCTCATCACCAATGAAATATTTCATTTATAATATGTGTCCATCTACAATATGTGTTATGGCCTGGATATCTAACATAGTGTTTTATTGCAGCATGCTCATTGAATTTTTCTAAATCATTAAATCTCCATAATTCTCGAAACAACTTGTATATTTTGATCAAGTTCATGCATGATGATACATGTGCCAGTTGCTCGAGATGGCCTTCTGGCCAGTGGATTTATTGTGCAAGTTGTCACAACACCGATGTGTACGTTAAATGTTAGTTAAAGTTTTTGTCATGTGCAGCTTATGGAACCGGTCAAACGAACAAACGCAACGATTCTCTATTTTATGTTTCTTTCTTTCACATGAACACACTGCTTTCCTACCTGACACTCAATGGAAGAAAAAACATAAAGGATGTTTAATTACTATAATGTGGTCCCTGATGTCACCATTACATCAGCACATGCAATGTAGTCCGAGCTACTATTTTTATAAAAAAGACTAACGTCATTCCACACTTCTGGCCTCCCTCATGCACGACTTAACAGCAACTTCAGGTGACAGGCCCGTGGCTTGGCCCCAGCCACAAGTGTGGTGTGACTGCTTTTTTTGCAGCGGCAGAGGCTATTTAGAACAGCTTTGCGTCGTCGGCAAATCGATGGCCAGATACACGCTATTTAAGCTGCAAAACAAGTTGTATAGCAGGCGGTGTGGTACTATTAATGGAAGAAGCGGAACAGAAACGATAAAGTCACGAGCTGGCCTGTCGATCGATCGGGTGGATTTTTCGGCCCACCAGACACGTCTCGGGTGGATTAGAAAACGCGAAACCGTGGCCACCGCGTCGGGTTGAGTACACGGTGGCCGCCGCCGCCGCCGCCGCCATGGGTGCGTACTATGGCCTGCTCCACGGGTTGATGCGCTCCCGCACGCATGCCTGCCTAGTGGACGGTCGTGCCTCGCCGGAGCCCCGCATGTCTCGGGTACTTTGTTTGTGTCGGCGGGCGCCTCCCCTGGTGCTACTGGCTGGCGCTCATCCCTCTTGCTGATATTGGCTGGCGCTCATCCCCTCTAGCTGCTACTGGCTGGCGCTCATCTCATCTTCCGATGGTGGCGACGAGGACTCTGACTTGAACGACCGCGGTGGCACTGCCATTAGCTAGGAGCGATGAAGACGTGCATGACGACGATGGCGGCCAACAGCAGGATCATGGTCCCACTGACACGCATCGCCTGGTTGACCACGCCGTCGTCGTAGCCCCTGGTCGGCTGACGTGGGCAGCGTGTGTCCCATCCTGCAGGTAGGGCTGGCGCGAGGACGATTGGGCAACGATGAGCGGCTCCCGGGACGCATGTTACATGCGGCATGAGGAGAGCAGCTGGCTGGGTCTTGGCGTCTTGCACGCGACCGTCGGTCATCTGCAGGTCCATGCTCTGCGAGAGAGACGATAGACGAGGGTCGGCCAGAACAACGACAGCGGCACCCTCTACGCGTTCAGAGCCGAAGAGGTACTGTCCACCGACAATTACTCCTGCAAGGCTTAGCCCCTTGCACACCCCGAGAAGCCACTGGTCGTCGAAAAGTCCGAGCCAAGCGCAATCCATGCTACCTCAACAACAATCACTCCAACGCCGCCATGACCGACGAGGCACAATGGCAAGGGCGAGCGCGGTCACCGCAAAGGCCATGCTACTTGCGGCGCGTGTATCGACGAAGACACGGGCTCTGTCGCCGCCCACACACACACCATCATCATCATGCATGGAGAACGCGAAGTGAAGACGACCACACAGCTCAATCGAAGGTATCCCGTGGAGCAACCCGTGGATGACTAACGCCGGAAGCATTCCGAGGCCCCGAGAACGAGGAGATCACACAATCACCACAGTCAGCTTGGCCGCGCTAGTAGGCCATGGAGGGCACCTTTTTATTATGAGATCTTGTAATTTTATTTCTCCATGAGATTAATGAAATACTTGTTTCTCGTATCATATTTCTTTCTGTACTTTGTACACTGGCACGCCCGCATACTTCTTTCGTTTTCCCGGCGTATGAGATAAATACACTCTCTCTTCCTTTCTCTTGAAGTCTTAGATATTTTGCTCGTGTCAAACATCGGTTAATCCTGTATTCAATTCCCTTTGTCCGGCGATATGTTACTTGCCCGAGATTTGGTCGTCAGTATCTCTATACCTAGTTCAATCTTGTTACCGACAAGTCTCTTTACTCGATCCATAATATAAGATTTCGTGACTAACTCATTACCTCATTGTTTGCAAGCTCTTTATGATTTTGTATTACCGAGAGGGCCCAGAGATATCTCTCCGTCACACAGAGTGACAAATCCCAGTCTCGACCCATACCAACCCAACAGACACCTTCGGAGATACCTGTAGAGCATCTTTATGATCACCCAGTTAGGAAGTGACATTTGATAACACACAAGGTATTCCTCCGGTATCCGGAGTTGTATGATCTCATGGTCTTAGGAATAGATATGTGACATGAAGAAAGCTATAGCAATAAACTCAAGTGATACGATCCAATGCTAAGCTATGGTTGAGTTTTGTCCATCATATCATTATTCTAATGATGTGTTCCCGTTATCAAATGACAACTCATGTCTATGGTTAGGAAACCTTAACCATCTATGATCAACGAGCTAGTCTAGTAGAGGCTCACTAGGGAGATAGTATATGTTTATGTATTCACACTTGTATTTAAGTTTCTGGCCAATAAAATTCTAGCATGAATAATAAATATTTATCATGAACAAGGAAATATGATAATAACCAGTGGCGGAGACAGGCCCCAGGCAGCCCGGGCCGCTGCCTGGAGCGCGGCACCAATTTCCTTTGGGTACTGGAGCATCACTGTAGCTACAATGCTACAGTGCGGCAAAGGCTGCCTGGGGCTTCGCTTTTTCCTGCCATCGCTACTGATAATAACCAATTTATTATTGCCTTTAGAGCATATTTCCAACAGATGGAATTATCAGGATGAAAATGTTGAGCCTGAGTATGGAGCGACAACGTTTACACAGTTAACTCAATTTGAAAAAATATACGTGATTGGACAACTCACATTCAACTTTAAGATGACACGAGACGGGTGGTCGGTCCCGGCGCTGGCTCGGCGCAGGTCCAGCGCTTTCCCCCTGCAATGCTCGTCGCCATAGTCGAAGCTGCCTGGACTGTTTGGCGTTATCCGGCACGGGCCTCGACGCTCGTTTATGGTGAGGGCTCCTTCGGTGGTCGTTGATGGTGGAGTCGGAGTCGCCCTGGTGGAGGTGTGATGACGATGAGACCGGATTTCTAACCTCGACGACGCTTCCCTCCTCGACGGCGTGTGTGCGTTCTTGTGTGGGTTGCCAGGTCGCCCTGGGTGTCCTATGTGGGCATTTTGTAACAGTTTTCGCCCGATTTTTCCTTAATTAACCGGGTAATTCTCTTCTTCTTTATTAATGAGATGAGGCAAAACTTTTAACTCCGTTTCAAAAAAATAAATTGTTTGAGCATACGTGTGCTCACATAGAAAAACCAACACAAGTATCTTTTTTTTCAATGTATTTGGTACAATTTTAAATTTATTTGGATGTAAATCATGTTATTTTTATTTATTTGAGTTGTAAACTACTACCTCAGGCCGCACCATGAAAAATAGGGCAAAACCATTGGCTCGCCGCTGAAACGGCTGCGGCGACACGGACAAAAAAACATGTACAACGGGGAACGGACAAAAAATGTGCACGACGGCCATCAAGGACAAAATTGCACTTGCGCCATATAAAAGAGAGCAAAGCCGTGGGCACACCACCTACACGGCTATTATATTTCTTTACAGAGTATGTATGTGTTTGTTCAATAATGTTTAATTCGATTCGGTGCGAATGATAATTAAAAGAATGAACGGTACAGATTAAAAGGCGGCACGTTCGGGAGTTATCTTTATCAAAAAGAAGAAGAAATTTTTGTAGTATATTCAAAAAGATTCCATCCTATAGGTTTCCCACTGATTTCATAGGAACACATGTCGTGGTTCTAAGCCTGACAGTAGAGTGGGGGGTAGGTATGGAGAGGCAAGGTCCTAGCTATGGAGAGGTTGTAAGCACACAGGATGTACGAGTTCAGGCCCTTCTCGGAAGAAGTAA